ACAATACTTCACTCTTTGAAGAACAAACCAACAATGAATGTGTTTTAGAGTTTGTTGTTACGTTATAAACATAGCGCAAAACACGTTAATCTGTTAGTCTATATTAGATCATGCCAGGAAGCTAAAGGTTTAATTTTTGCAACCTCGTTGCATGCTCATCAAATTGCAATTGATATAATAAAATACGAAAGGTTGATGTCATCTTGTCTTAAATCGATTTCGCTGATTATAAGACATTCAATGACAAATTTTGTGATACTAATATAATTCATATTCGGGTTAGTTTGAATAATCTTTAGCACTTCAACCTTTCAGAATCACATAAATATAAAAATAAAACACTTAATAAGAGTTAAACTCATTTTGATGTCTTAGTGAGGATAAAACCACCATAATGTGACAGTATTTAGCACATTGTCGACACATGATTTATTGTCATTGCCTCCTGTTATTATAAACGTAATATTAAGTATTGATGACAAATATATATCCTTATCACCCTAATAACGACAGCTAAACGGGCTAAACGTGTTATATTTCTAGTTTGTTATCTTTCTATTAATTAGTGTTAGAGATTAAGATGCTTAATGCTAATTGTTTCACTAAAAGAGTAAATCTCTATAGTAAATAGCATCTTGAAGAACAATTAAATGCTCAAAACATTTTTCTTTTAATGTTTCATCCAGTAGGCACTAAATGCACTTTATTCACTAAGCTTTGAAACTTCAGTGACATATTAATTTTCAGAATTATTTTAAATCATTGATTTTAAATTGCACAATATGATTTTTACACACACATACAGATATATTTTCAATTTATAAATGTCATTAGCCAGTTTTTCAAAATCTGCATCGAAAACTAATATCAATATGATCATTCTACATATTTTGTTAATGCTTTGAACATACAGAATGACCAATTCTTAAACGAATTTCACAAAAGGGGTGTAGTCCATAATGTTTGGAAGCCATATTCTCTTGTTATTTTACGAATATATGGTTACCTATATAAGTTTTTTTTTTTGAAATCTGAAACACAAACAATATAGTAGAAATAACTTCAAATGTTTTAGTATATTAAAACCTAACGTTATTTTTAAACGTGGTCATCTTGAATAATATGCTTTATATAAATCGCTGTACATCAACCCGATACTTCTCTTCAGCACTACCTAAGGTCTATACTGTTAATTTATGTTTGTCGTTTTGGAGAGACTTAAATGTGCATCTTTTCATACGTTTTGGCGACAATATGATTTAAAATCGTGAAATTTCTTTTCAAATTTTTCGATCAGGAAGACAGCCAGAAATAAAACATTTTTTACGCATAAAAGATCTGTAGTAAGTAAGTTTGTAGAATGAGAACTTTAGACATTTTTAAAATGCGTAATTTATCTCAATAGCTGGTCGATAATATTACTTTTAGGATGACCCATTTCCTTTGATCAATATGTAATGTTGATGCTAGGTGTGTACGAAATGGAAAACATATAATATTAACATATGGCATAAAAATTTATCTTTGAAGATTTGTTAAAAATATATCTTTACACTCTAGCATGTAGTTATATTATTGTCTCGCAAACGTACGCTATAGCGGTGAGGCTGTCATACATATTCATCACATACACGAACGTTTGTCAGTGTAAACACATATATCTTCTTGCATCTAGTTTTATGCTCGCGGTATCCACAAGATCAAAGAATAACACCGAAATTCAATAGATTCTTGGAAATAAGCCATAGAAAGCAGTACTGAGTGAATGTAGTTCCAGAGCCTCCCTCGGGATAGAAAATGTTCCTTCATAAGATCATCCGTCTGCTATAAAATGTACTTCTGTTTAGTTTGAAAATATCTGAATGGAACTTTTATCAACGGATGATATTTTGTTTGTTCACCATAGGGCATAATAACTTGTTTCCCACTTTTAGAAAGTCACACTTGTTTATTCGTTTATGGGAATACATCGTTAGCGTTTTCTAAATGATGCAGATTCCAATATAGACTAACACTGTTCGTAATAGAACCAGTTTAGCAAACATACTACAAGTATCGAACATGCTGGTATTTATTTGTCAAGTATTCACTCTTCAAAGTTCATAGATATAGATCCGTACTCGGATATCTTGTAAGTTTTAGTGTCCATGAGTATATCCGATAATAGTTCTTATTTCAGAAAATGCAGTTTTTCTTAATTCTTTAGATAAAATATTAACTTTGTTTCCTGCAAGGTTTGTATGTTGTCCCCCAGAGGCTCAGTGGTAATCTTTTAACGCCAGACTACAATGCTCAGTCCATGTGGTGGACTCGACACAGAGATAGCCACCTTTGCAGCTTTATTCTATAGTAAATAAAGAGTTATTTTGAATTGGCATAAACTAGTGGGCTAGTGTGTCTGGCTGCAGGTCGAAGGTTTGGAGTTCGAGACGTGATACCAGTTCACACTCTTACACGTTATAAAAGTGATAACCAATCCATTTACTCATCTCGAAACTGTTATTTGGTGGCGGGTCCTGCTGACTTGCTATATTTCCTTTAATCAGTAATTAATTCAAAACAATGTTTGCAAAGTTTAATAATTCCTTAGTTCCTTATTATATGATTTTTGTCATATGAAATATCGAAATTTTGTGCATTAATACTGTTAAATGACAAATAAATAAGGTTTTTAATTAGTCGAATAATTATTGTATGATGTTAGGTGAAGTCAATCTAAACAAATATTTGGAAAGTTTAATAATTCCTTTGTTCATCATTATATGAATTTATTTTATATTTTAGGGTCTAAATATTAATGCCATGTATTAGGTCGTCAAGAAATTAATGTCGCGTTTTCGAACACTTTCATTAACCACCCCCCAAAAATTTATATCACGTGTAAAAGTTAAACGAACCGCCTAAACGTCACGTTAGTGTAGCCTATATAATGTGTAAAGTTTAGTATAATCTAATCCCTTATACTGATGGTACTCGACGAGACACACATTCGGCATGTAATGCTGTTTGAATACAAGAAGGGAAATAATACCTCTGTAGCCACAAAGAATATCAAAGAAGTTTATGGAAATGTTTTGAACGTTCGTAACAACGATGGTTCAGCAAATTTCGTTCAGGTGACTTTATCCTTAAAAACTATGATGGCAGGGCTGACACGTTGGAATTGATATTGATGGTCTGAAGATGCTTGTTGAGTCTAACCCAAGGCAACACACTCGTGAAATGGCGTCTCTCATGAAACAATACGTAAACATATAAGAAATATGGGAAAACTCTATAAAGAAGGTGTTTGGGTACCTCACGAACTTTTCGATGATCATCGTTTCCAACGTGTGAACGTTGCTTCGCCTCTTCTGGCAAGTAATGTGCGTGAACCATTTTTGGACAGAATTGTCACTAGTGATGTAAAATGGATTCTCTATGCGAATATTAAACGCCAAAAACAATGGCTCAG